CACTAAATTTGCAAAAAGAATGACAGAGATTCTATGGGTCACTTGCAAACTTCCCCTCATCAAATCAAAAGCAGTTATTTGCCTGATGATTGTACATTGTCAGGAAATTTGCTGCATTCTCCAGCAAGACTCCTGCCTCGTGCACTCTCCTGACAGTCACTCATGTTTGAGTCACTGAGACTCAAACAACCTCAGTCTATTTAAAATTGTCTAGCAAATTATTCATCACAGTTTTAATACCAGGATTTGTTTCTGTGTGAATTTGCACTTTAAAAGAATTACTTGTAAATCTATTGAAGCAATCAGCGTCTGAGACTGGATGATGATTGCTGTCACTGCGGCTATGGCTGGCCAGATGGTGCTGCTCATATGAGGCTTGAATCTGGTACAAAATGCCATTGTTTCTTTTGTGTTCACAATGCACATGCCCCAGGCTCAAAAAAAAAACCCAACACTTAAAACCCCACATAATTTTCAGAATACATTAATTCACAAAGTTTACGGTAACTTATTCCTGTGCCAAAAATAGACACTTTGCTTGTACAGCCTGTTTTCCTCCCCAGACACATGTGAAGATAGCAGTCATATCCCCCTCTGTCTTTTTCTGCTGGGTTTAACAAGGCAAATAAAGTTTGCTCTTGTAAGAGAACCTTTTCATTCATTTTTCCTTCACAGGCTGGTCCCCAGACAGCTGAGTCTGATGAGGGTGACCCAAATATGACAAAGCTGCTGGTAGCTCTGAGTTAAGTTTCCCATAGATAGGGTTAGACAAAAAGGCCTGGGTGTATTAATCGTCTGGATAGAGCTTTTAACATTTTTTATGAAGATGGAGTTGGCCATTTCTCTGCACTCCTGGTGGCTCAACAATTTCCACTATAAGCTTCTGTTTTCATTTGGTTTACATTTACCAAACTCGAATGTGTTCAGCCTCACATTTTCCACACTTGTAGTCTGCTCTGGGCTGGAATTTCTTTTCTCCATCTCAGGAAATAGGGATCATTTGTTTCCAAGAGCATGCCTGTGGAAAATTAGTTGTGAACATTAAACACATCCATCTGTTCCTTTGTGGGGCTTTACCACCTGCTTATAATGGAAAGGGACCTGAAATTTGGAAGGAGAAACTCTAGGGAGGCATCCTCTGTTGTCCCCATGAAAATCTACTCACAGTTAGTTACCTATGAATTTACAGAAAACCATCAACATCATTTTCACGTGCATCCACTAGAACATGATCCTGACCGTTATATGGGAAGGAGACCTGCTCCTCTTCACAGAGGAAAAGGGCTGGGGTGCATCACTCTGAGGACCATGCATGGCAAGCACCCCATCTCCTCACATGTTTCTGCCCATATCTTTGGCTCATTCCATCCAGCACAAGGTCCTGAAGATGACAAGGGTCTTCTGAAGCTTTGCTTTCAGGTAAGAACACAACTGACTTTTTAAATAAAAATGCCTACATGATGTATAGCCACAAATAAAGAGTAAAATTTTCAGGATAAAAATGTCAATATATTGTATAAGATTCCATCCCCTACAGAAATTTTCTCTCAGGAAATTCTACCATGAAGTATTGGCACCAGGATTGCTGGCATGCAGATCCCATACTGGCACAGGGGAGAATTAGTAACGGTGGATTTACACCTGACATTTGACATTTCACAGTTAAACTTTTCATGTTGTGCTACTAACCTGTAGCTCTGACAAGTGCAACCAGAGTGCAGGCATGAGTGCTACCCATGCACATCATAAAGCAAGTAAAATATATGGAGAGACATCCAAGTTCTTAGTAAGCTATGGTGTTCATACGCACGTAAATGTGACAGGTGCAACAAAAGTATCCCAGCACCAAAATCTCCACTTATATACCTATCCATTCAAGGTGTGCAGACAGAACATTGATTTATAGTCTGAGGCTACGGACGAGGTGCAAAGCAAGAAATGATCATCAGCTGGTGCTGATATGACTCAGCTGCATTCATCTTGTCTGACTTCATCTTGCAGTTATCCAGTACATGCACTTTTGAACCAAATTATTATGGTCAGTTTTGATATACTATGCAAGAGGAGTCGACACTTAAAACACTGCATAATACACACCTAAGTTTCTAGCTTCCTTAATAGCCTACATGGCTTTCATGTATTTGTGAAAGACCCACAATATCAAGGATATGCAAGAAATCAGTAAAAAGCAGCTGTAAAAAAAGAAGGGGAAAAAAAAATAAAAGTGAGGAAATTACAAAAGAGGGTATTGGCCTCCCAGTATTTTCCTGTTTTGTACATCACAGCATAAACCTTTTTGAGACAGCAAAGTGGAAGGGTTTTCTTATTCAGGGGTATCTCCTGAAAGGAGAGAAATGGATGGATGTCTGGCAACTGAATGAGCTTTCGGGAAGAAGTCATGCTTCATACCAACCCAAGGCAGCAAAATTCGTTAAGATTCAAGTGAGTTTGTTTTTTTTTAATTCTTGTTTGAAACCTTTATGTAACCATTGAGTTAGCTATAAAAAAAATAAATAAATTCATTGTCCAGGGAAAAAGAAAATGTTTACACTTGTGGTCTGAATCTTCTGCTACGCATGAAAACTGGAAATATCCCATAACTGTGCTGTTATACAAAGATTTAGCATAAACAAACAACTGTTGGTTAACTGTCATTCAGATACAGGACAAAGATCAAAGACTGCTGTCACAGTTCTACTGTATTGACTTTGGTTAGTTTTTTTCAGTTTTGTTCACCCGATTCCTGACATCCCAGTTGAAGTCATCGTATTTCAAAAGCTGCTGATCAACTTCAGATTTTTACCAAATCAGTGAACTCTCATTTTAGATGCTCTGCACTCAAGGAGGAGAGTGCCTGGTTGTGTATGAGAACATCTCAATGACTTGAAAATAAGGTTACATATGTAACTCACTATTCACTGGATCATGACACAGTTTTCAACAGCTTTGATTCATCTTTGTCTTTTCTCCTCCTGGCTCCTGAAATTAATGATTAAACAAGAAAAACAAGCAATGAATACTTTAGTTTAATGCCTAAGATTTTTTTATTCCATTTGAGTGAATCAATACATTCCTTTGTGAAATGGAAGCAACAGTTAACATTGTACAATTTTATGTGCCATCTATTCTATTGTGGCAACAGAGAAGTTTGCAAATTTTTCCTGCATTGTGGTAGTCAATTTAAGACTCATTTACGACTCATTTACTCTGTGACTGGTGTTTCTGCAGAAGTCTCACAGTGAATGTAGTAAGTCTATCTGATATTCCATACAACATTATGTTTTATCTCTCTACTGCTATCTCATTTGTCATTCTAGCCTATATCACTTGATGTAAACAGTAATCTTGACATTAGCTTTAGAAGCAATGGTACTAATAGTATATGACATTAACAGTGTAAAACACTTCTTTGCACATATCTCAAGCCCCCTAGTTTTCTGATACCCTTTATTAGTACCAGCACATACCAAGAGATCACTGGAAAGTCATCTTTCAGCCTAACAAGTAGAATGCAATGTTTTGTCTGGATACAGAGGAATTTGTTGACTGTTACTTTAGGTCTTACTTTCTTCATCCTGTCTGAAACTATAGCAATATCCTGCTACAGTCATACCAGTACAAATCTATCAACATCTGAGTGCAAAATCTGCTCCAGGGCATGTTTTTATATCTTGGAACACCAAATACATTTTCTTATTGTTATTTAGAGTAATTGCAACAGTAAAAGTCAGGTTTAAGACTTGGAAGCCTTATAAGAACACTTGCTTCCCAACATCTGGCTCCAGAAGAAAGGAGGTACAGCAGCAGAGGATATTAAATGCAAGAAGTGGCAAGGTCACTGACTGCACAGTTGACATAAGGAATGACCTTGTCATTCCTGGCCCCAGTAGAAAACCCAGCACTGGGTGGGCATAGCCTTTGGCAGCCCTGCTGCAGGTACCACAACGTGGTGCTGCTCCGGCTGAGCCCTGGCTCCCAGCACCAAGCCAGCACAGAGGCAAACATATATGTGATGTGGCTCCACCACCACTTTCACCCCTCCTCTACAAGGTAAGGAGGAACATTGGCCTTGTTTCTGGTGAGGGTCTCTAGACAGGAAGGTACCTCAAATAATAGCAGCATAGAGTGTTAGCATTGCAATAGGCAGCCAAACTCAGCTATCAGCTTTGTAACCTACCAGTGGGGTTTTTTTAGCCCTAAAAAAAAAGTACAGCCTGTACCAAAAGCAAGTGTCTCAAAGGTCTGCTGTGCTCACACCCCCCAAAACCTCAGATCCACAAGTGAGGTATTCCTCTCTCTCTTGTACTGCTTTGGGTTTTAGCTTGTTCTTCAGTAGTGTTCCTGTCTAGCTAGTTGCAAACAGGATTTGTGTTAACTTTTGTAATAAAAAAATAATTTAAAGAATATACTTCTATGCTTTCTATTTTCCATCTGTTTTTTGCATCAGTAGAACAGGAAGAGAGAAATTACTTCTCAAGACCAGCCAGTGCATACACAAGAATTGGAAATGCTCTCAGTGGTCTCTGCACAATCTAGGATACAGTCAAGGGAATAAATCAGGACTACAAACATAAACTCTCACTGTCTTGTGAGATATCTGAATGTGACTGGACTCACCAGAGACCAAATATTTGCCCTATTATACCCAGATAAATGCCTGCTTTCTACTAAGTTATACTAATACAATGTGGAGAAAAATATAGTTCAAGTTGTCTACATTTTAAAGTCAGAGACTGAAAGGAAGTGGAGAAATGGGAAAATGAATAATGAAATCAAGAATACAGTTAGGAATAAAATGCTAGGAGGCTCTTATGAGCCTGAGCCATAAAGTGAAGCACAGATGAAATAACACAGTCAGTAACCACAGATAACGATGCAAGTATAAATCCTGTAGCAAACACCACAGTACTATGTTTTCTCCCCGGGACGATGTTTTACCTGCTCTGAAATCCTCTGGTAAGTGACCAGTAGGAGAAGACATCCACTGTGTCATTTTAGAGGAGAGGAGAAGAATCTCCTCTGAAGAAAGAAGTTATACGTAGCAGCCAAGGCTTTATTTTTATCAATGACTTCTCAAGCCAGCTGTGAACATTCACCCTTTTAATCACAGACTAATTAGGATCCACATATATCTAATCAAGACTGTAACTCTGAAGGTGCTCTAAATGCTTCTATAGGTAGTAGCGTATGTTTTAGCATACAGCACCTGGTGTTTCAACATTCAGGTAATCACACTGATGCTGAGGTAAAATCCAGACTTCTAGCACTAAACTTCAAAGGCAAGCAGTCACTTCCCGGTTACCCCATCTGTTTGTTTATTTTTTAGCAAGCTGCCTATTTAAAAAACAAAACACAACAGAAGTCACACTGAAAATAATTTGATTAAAATTTAGTTCAGATCATTGAGCCATCTGCGTTACTGCTGCGGCTGGTGGAAACTGTGGTCTTGTGGCTCTTCCCATCACCATCCAAAAGACAGCGGCCAAAACAGTAATGCCACTTCATGTGCAGGTAGCAGAAACATTCAGCAGCTGCCCCTGCTGTTGCTCAGTCAGTTTTCCTTCTGCTGGCACCTTCATCTGTGGTTACAAGTCAGGGCCCTATGAAGCAGGCAGACAGCAAGACCAGTGTCAATCGATCATGTTGCCAGATCTTCCGCTGCTCATTTCCTGCAGCATAATCTGAAAGAAAGCCTGTTTCCATGCCTGAGCTGGTCTGGACAAAGATAAATCTGAAGGCTGCCTAGTGACTACTGTATAAACATACAGCAAGTCTGATGATCTAACCTACAAGGCTTTGGTTATTTGGTATAATTAAGTGGAGAAGATGCCAAGAAAATAATTACTGGAAAGTTTTCTTTTGAGAAACTTATGATAGAAATTTCTCAACAGCTTCAAGGAACTCCATGGATGAGCTAAGCCCTTCCAAGTCCAGCAGATTGCCCTTTTTGTCATGAAAGTGGAATAATTCAGTCTCTTCCTCTTCCAGTTCCTCTCGAAATAGGTTTGTCTCTGAGGTAGGAATGATGATGATGCGAGGGACTGCACTGCTAATGATGGAGCCCAGGACTCCGTTCACTTGACTTTCTTGAGCTGCTGTCTGTGGAGTACCTGAGCCCTCTCCTCCACTCACACTGCTGCTATTCAGACCAACAGGCAGAGAGGCTGCTTTTAGGGAGCTGCTCACAAGTGTTGCAGGGAGACCGTGTAGGACTGGCTGCCTAAGCACCTTCTCCAAACAGCTGGAGGAGAGTGAAACCTGGAATTGAGACATAAGTTTTAGTGTTGTCATACAGCATATGACTACAGAAACCAGTAGTAGAAATGTTCATTACCACTAGCCATTTTTTGAGTCACCAGTCATATTTTCTAAACACTTGAATCACTTACTAGAAAGAGAAAATCAGGTGTGTTAACATCTACAGCTTGGAAAGCAGAATGTTAAATGAGGCAAAAGAAAACATGCCTAAATATCATCAGAGACCAAAAAGAGAAGAAGGAAAAGAAAAGCCCATTCCTATATCTGACTTATTTTATGTTTCAAAAAAGCATTTCTCCCTTTTAACACATCTCAAGGTACCAGATAATTGCACTTCTCTCTGTCTCTCATTGGAGGGATCTCAGGTAAGACTCAAGCACACTGTATTCTTTATTTGCCTACACTTTCATCATCCTTGTGACAACCTCTGTCATGGTATCCCCAAACGGCTCCTGCTATTGTCTCAGGGCAGTCAGTGGCTTTGCATGTACTGGATAGTACTTCCACCAGCAAAGAAGAGAAAACCAGCAACTGCTATTTTGCTTTGCTAACCACTTCCCATCTGCCTTCTTTGAGAAAACTTAATTTCCTACTTCGCCCTGATGGCAACTCCCCTGTGACCTTTCCATAACTCTTTGTGCACAGTACGCAAATCCAGAGTAAACTAAATAAGCTTTTAAAGTATTGGTTAGTATTTAAATACATTGGCAATGGAAGGCATGAGTGATCAATTTTGGCTTGCTATAGAAAATGACAGTTCAGGTTATAAAATGCCACATACAGAGAAAAGCTAGAGGTCCCTCCTTCCTGGAGAAAATCAACATTTAACATAAAATGCAGTTTTTACCTCATTACTATGTGAATTCTCATGAAGACTAATGGAATTCAGCATACAACAAAGTTTTATCCAGATTGCTATGAAGCTTCTATCAGAGTAACAGTTCTATTTATTTCTCTTCATACACTTGTAAGGCATATTAACTAGCTACACTGAGTCTCTCCATAGGTTGAGCTTCCCATAATAGTTTTGTAAATATTTTTCCTCTATTGCAGATATTTCTGTTCTAGTCATAAACCTCATTAATTCCACTTTAGTCTTCTTGAAGCATTCAGGCATGTAAATCCCATGGATTTATAGAGATTTGGTGCTAAAACATCTTTTTAAAATGTTAGATTGGTCTCTGGCATGATTACAGCAGCAGGAGCTATAATTTGGCTCCTCTGTCTCCACCTAGTCCATGGCCTGTGATACTGCCTTTATACTGGGAAATCCTTAAATCAAAAAGGGAAAGGGGGGGGAGGGAGAGGTAGTATAGTGGCTGGTTTTGGTTTTTAAGATTTAGGGGTCATTATCTCAGTAAGTAGTTTAGCATAATATCTTATTGCATAGCACAAGTCAGTCTGATTTTACAGACAGAGAACAAAACATATTTGTTTTTCATACAAATTATGTTGTTAAAAAAAAAACAACAAACCACAAGAGACTTTTTTAGTCTCTCTCTCTTCCCCTCTGTTTCTCTGTCAGTCTGGGTATAGAATAAGACACTAGTATATTCTGAAGGATTATGTAAATTTACTCCACAAACAGCAATCATTCACTGATTCCTATTGATGAAGATTTCTCCAGCCACTCTACTTATCCAAGTGGAGGGAAGAACAATGTGCTAAAACCAGCAGTTTAAATCAGCCTGAAAGACAAGAACAGTCCATTCTTCCAAATCAAAGTTAATTATAGAATGAAAAACCTAAAACCAGTCCTCCCTGCTTCAAGTGCGGTCTTCACCACAGCAGAAGGAAGAGTTTCTTTTGAATATGGACACCACTTCCAAGTTTTTTTAGTTTTCATGCCAGGTAATTCCTTTGGCAGGAATCCTGGATGCAGAGAGCACACTTGGCAACTCTCTTTTGAAATCAAGTATTCAAACCTATCTTCCACTCATAATACATGCCTGCATTTTAATGCTTCCAAAAAGGCCTCTTCACTGCCACACCAGGTTTCCAGATGTCAGTCTACATCAGGTCTGCTACCATCCTAACTAACTTCAGTAAGTCATGGGGTTAGAGCATATCTCTGTGGCAGCACAGAAAACAGTCCCATGTGTTTTGTGCTATGCAAAGCACCAAGCCAGGGACACTGATTGGCTTTTTAACTTTCACTTGAGGGATGCCTTTTCTTTTTTGACAACCCATCTGCAGCTGTGCATTAAGGAGTTTTGATCTCAGTCAGTGAAAAGAATTCAGACGTACATAATTTATCTATTTTGTTAAATCAGAAAGTTAGGTGACCCTGCACCAAATTCACACTTGTATTTCCATAACTGAGCATTTTTGAAAGCGCTATAATTGGAATCCAATCATAGACAGTTCAGTAATGCTATTAAAACCTTAAATATCTAAAAACACAGTGGGGTTGGGGTTTTTTTGAGGATAAATGGGTGGCCACATAATGAAACACTCTAACTGATCTTGACAAATAAAAATTTATTCTGATAGAATTAATGTTGATGCATTGCATTTAGCTAACACACAAAGGACCTTCACGCCACGCAGGAATCTTTGCTAAGAAAAGCAAATGATGCTTTGAATATTCAATGTAAATGAATTCTACGCATCTTGGTGAACAACACTGAAAGCCTCAACCTGAAAGTATTTTTGTTTAAAATACTTTTGTATTTATCAAAATAATTCAACAGATGTCTTTCAAGGACAAATTATAGCATCTGAGCCTTCTTGTGGGCTATGCAGCTGACAAATTCCAGAATCCAGGGTCATTTTCTTAATTGCTGAATACTTTTATGCAGACCACCTCAGATTTATTTTCCTTCTCCTTCCTTATGAGACTGAAAGCTGGTGGTTCTCCAGAACCTGGAGACAACCTCTTGTCTTTGATACTTAGCTACCACCTTGGACACGCTGGGCTAGTGATGGAGGACAGCAGAAGTGGGCAGTAGATTTGATTCCATGTTGCCTGCCTCTACATTTGAATTCCTTGGTTTTCCATCAGTACTATTCACAACAGTTGCAGGGAAAGACCAAGGTTTCTCAGGACTTGATCTTAAGGAGACACATGAAAGAAGACAGGAAAGATGCATGCAGGAACCAGTTCATTGGCTGGCTGGAAATTTCCAGAACAGTTCCTGCTTTAAACTATGCTATCTCCAGACAATTAGCGTCAGAGCTAGAAGGGAGCAGAAGGGACAGAAGCAGATGCTGTAGCTGACCAAGGTGTGGATGTTTGGATACACACAACAGAGTAGCCCCATGAAAAGGTGCCTTTACCAAAAAGTGGGTGCTACTCAGTCCAGCCACGCACAGAGGATTGTAAGCCTGCTTGGAAAAACAGCACTGATATATGCTTGACATTGTGCCACCCATACAAATAATCATTTTGAAACTGGTGTTACGGTTCTGGCAGATGCTGACTCATGGGTGACCTATTGCTTCCATCCTCAGAGGTTCCTTTTGGAACAAAGTTTTCTTTGTCCAAAACTTCAACAGTTTGGGCAACGAGCATGATGCATCCACAGAAGATGCACTGAGTATTCACCATCTCCTCTTTCAGTGAGGGAAGGATGGCAGCTGCCAGACTCTCCCACCCTTAGGGAGAAATGGGAGTTTCTTTCGAGACTTCCCCTTCAACAGAAATAAAATATTTTAATGTTTTTTTTTTCTGAAGGAAGGAAAAAGTTGGCCTCTATCATGTCAAACTCTTTTGCAGCCCTGACTTTGTAGTAAAAGGAGGCTACCACAATGTGGACACAAGGGTCAGGATGTGAGGAAGCAGAACTGGGTTAGATAAACAGGAAAAGAGGCAAAGAATTCAACTTCCTGCATTTGATGCCACTGACTGTGCTTCAACGCAGCTTTAGAGCTATGAGTCAATGCTGATTTTCCAAAAACAGGCAACATATTAGTGAAAAAAAATGAATAAGGCTTTATTGGCATTCTCTTTAGGTACAAAAAAAGAAATAAAGGCAATGATGAAGAGGACATCAGAATCAGGATAAATAAAGCCTTCAGACGAAACAGGTGGTTATAAAGATTGAATTATTATTTCAGAGATTATGTGCTGTAGCAAGATTAACACTAAAATGGAGAGTCCCCAGCAGAGACTTTTTTTCCTTACCTTTTCTGCAGTTGCTGCATTGTAGCTGCAGGTCTTTGGGAGCAGATCTCTCTTCTCCTGTCTTGGACTTGAGAAAGAGTGACTTCGGCATGGCTGCAGCTTCTTACGAGCTTGCTCTACAGGGTCAAGTTCTACATCACTCCAGGTCTAATAATAAATGATGAAGAATTTCAGACAGGTACATCCTTTCTCAAATTCTAAAAGTTCTCCAACTCTATCAGAAACCATGCACACCTATAGGAAACTAAAGCTGTTCTAACACAGGTCTCACCCTCAAAACTGCCCTGGGGAGAGGCTTGATTTTTAATCTTGCCACTTACCCTGGACTATTTTTCTGAACCAAAACAAAACTTTGAAATAATGAAAAATTAGTTATTCTCTTTTCACCAATATGTTTTACACCCTTTTTTATCTCATTGTTTGTGCTACGCTTATAGCTGCATAGTGCCTTAAGTTTAAAGATGAGAGCAAGTACAACCAATCTCTTTGGCTTATGGCAGTCTGCATGACCATCAGCTGGTACAAAACCATGGACATGGACAGGACCAAATCCACATTTGTATATATCCTAACTGGATACCCAAAACACCCAGGGCTTCTTAAGCCCCATGACCTTGCTTCTTCTTTGTACCATCATTAGCGGATGGGTCACAATGAGTGGGTTCTGTGCTGATTTTCTGATAGCATGCCAGTAAATGTAGCACTATCATGACATTGCAACCATGCCATTCTATTTACAGGCTTGGGCAGAGGCCATCTATCATCCCTAACTTTGTGGTGACTTTTTTAATTGAATATCAGTGATGAAACCGTTCCACTACTTTCCACACCAGCTTTTAGATATGGATGGATGGACAGAGGGACAGACAGGCTTCCACACAAGTGGGAAGCTAGTGCATAATTCCACTGCATCACCTTGCTCATGCATCTGTGTATTGCCACCTTTTTATTTCTTCTCCCTTGTAGAATTAAACTGTAAATACTGTAAATACAGTAAAAAAAAAAACAAACTGTAAATACAATTTATATGACTTGTAAAAGCATTGTCTCCCTACACTAAGGACATAACATACAGAGGGAAGTGTTGGTGGCAACGGGTGCATCTTTTACAGTGTTGCTGGTGCCATTCCTGCTCATCAATACTTTAGGGGAGCATTCCAAACTTTCACTCAGTCCTGTTGCCATGCGAGAGTTGTTGAGCTTAGCTTTTATTTCAGCAGCTGCTGTTTCAGCTAAAATCTGTATAACTGCACTGAGCTGTTGGTTGCCCCAAGAACAACTACCTTTGGCTGCATCCACTCACAACACAGTGCTGTACTTTACTAACAGCATTATTTGAGAATCCTAAGCCAAAGCTGTGCCAAAGACTGAAGCCTCTTATCCACATTATACCATGTCTTTAAACAGCACCCCCAATTAAACACACACAATAATCTGCTAACCCCAATGAACCAAAACCAAGTAGTGACCAACAGTGAAGAACAGAAAGCTTCTTGGATCAAGGTAGGTGATACAACTGAAATTAGCTCATTTGACATCAAACAGTGGATTAATGGGGAGAAAGTGAAGGAATAAATTTAAGTCAAGGCAATTTAAAAGATGAAAGGGTCAAAAAAGAAGTTGGAAATAAGTAAACAAGGAGCCATCCCTGTCTTAAACTATGCCAACACATTTCCATGTCACTAGACCTGCTCTCTACAACCAGTGGATGAATCATAGAATTATAGAATAGAATCAGCTAGATTGGAAAATACCTTTAAGATCATCAAGTCCAGCTGTTACCCAGGACTGCCAAGTCCACCATTAGAGTCAAAACATTGCACTGCACCAGCTACCAAGAAGGGGAAAAATGACTGCTACTGCTGAACCCAGGACACCGTGTCACTGAGGGTCTCATCTACATGGATTTTGAACACTTCCAGGAACAGTGATTCCACCACTTCCCTGGGCAGCCTGTTCCAATGCCTGAGCACCCTTCTGGTGAAGAAATTTTTCCTAATATCCAGCTTAAACCTCCCCTGGAGCAGCTTGAGGCCATTTCCTCTTGTCCTATCACTTGTTACTTGGGAGAAGAGACCAGCCATCTCCTCGTTCCATCCTCCTTTTAGGTAGTTGTAGACAGGGATAAGGTCCCCCTGAGCTTTCTTTTTCTCCTGACTAAACATCCCCAGTTCCTACAGCCATTCCTCATCAGGCTTGTGTTCCAGACCTTTCACCAGCTTTGTTGCCCTTCTCTGGACCCCCTCCAGCATCTCCATGTCTCTCTTGTAGTGAGAGGCTCAGAACTGAAAAGAGTGTTCTAGGTGAGGCCTCACAAGTGCCGAGTAGAGGGGGGCTGAAGCACAAGTGGAAACAGACAAGTAGTACCCATGATCTTAAGGGGAATCAGATATGTACGTGTGCTGTGTTTGCTCAAGCAAAATACATATATATAATACATATATTATATATACGCACACACACTCTTTTTCTAAAAGTAGGATATTGGCATGTTGCATATACTAACCTCATATTTCAAGGATGATCTGGGTATTTTACAGTTTACTGAATCATCACAGTTGATACTGTCATGCATCATTGTGTAATCAGTGGTCTGTGAATGGAATTAAGTCAGCAGGATAGATTATCTAACTTTAATTTACATTGCAAGAGAAATATTCATTTATTTCGTTAGAGCACTTAATATATTTAAATATATATATGATAAATTTATTATTATTTAGAGCCAAGACAAATGCTAAATTTCATAGCCCATACAAAGTGAGTCACTCTTTTTTTTTTCTATGTTATTAAGGTTTTTGCCGTAATACAGAGATAAATATGAAAGCGCTTCCTGTGCCCTGAAGACTATGAGAGCCTAGGCAAGCAAATTAAGGCCAGGCTGGACGTGGTTCTGGGAAACCTGATTTAATTGAAGATGTACATGCTCATTGCAGGGGGTTTGGGCTAGATGACCTTTGAAGGTCCTTCCAACCCAAACTATTATATGACTTGGGATCCTCATGCTGTGCAGTACAGTAGTGTCACACTCCACAGGAGTCCTATCACACACTTCAAGCACACTTTGGCTCAAAGATGAACAACAGTACTCCAAAAAAGGCTTTGCTTGGGCTAAGAAAGGCCTTTCACACTTCCTTTTATTGTTTTATTTAAAAGAAATTTTATGATAGATGCATTTTATGAAACACCATAGAAAAAGACAAGGTCTCTCCTGAGAACTAGCTTATCCACTGCATGGTATTTAAACACCTTTTAATTTTGAGTGACAAAACACACCCCATTTAAGTAATTTCATGATGTTTAATCATCATTATACCTGTCTGTAAGGCAGTAATCCATAGGCTGTTTAGTGATAGCTAGGAACGTTGCTGTGATATGTGACATACAGCCACAAAGTGGAGGAGGATCCTTGCCCACAAACGGTTCACAACTTCACAAGCTGTATGGCTGAGGCTACTCAGTAAAGCACAGTTAGTCACTTTAACTGGAAGTCTGCCTGATACGGCTGCATGGTTAATGTGCAAGAGAGGAAGCAGCAGCAGGGACTGCGAAGTAACCTGTCTTTCACAATGGGACAGACTTTGATTCATTAGGGCTCAGGCAGTGAGCCTTCCCTTCAGGCACTTAAAGTGTTTTTCTTCATTTGTTGTTGGGTTTGAGGGTGTTTTTCATTCTGTTTTTGGATTTCTCAGCTAGGAGGCCTGAATTTCATGTCAGCACCCTGCGCATAGTGCTCGCATTGGCTGGGACTGCTTGGTTTCCCAGTGAACACTGCATTTTTTTGCTCAGGTGCATTTGCTTTACAGTCTGTCTGCCATGAACAAGTTCAGAAATCTCCCTGGTGCTGCTACCTGAACAGAACTTCCATTCTCCAGCAGAAAATTCAATGCTAAATTATCTTATCTGAGGCTGGTGCACTTTCCTGGTGGTCCATTTCTACATTAAGGACCTAGTCTAGCTGAAAATACTCACTGTCATTACAGTCTTACTGAAATGCAGCTCCATGGCTTGACTCTCAGCAGCAGCACCCTGAAAGCATGCAAATAACAGAGCCCCATCCTCACTTAGACAGCTGCCACCTGGCTCAAGGGGGGAGCCAAGAGTCTGACACTCAGTCTGTCACAGTGATTTATACCTTTGTGAAAGGTTACGGACTGCAGCCATTGCTCTGAAAGGTTTCTTACACCCAAGCTGAGTGTGGAGCAGTGCTGATCCCCAGCCCCAGCAATGGCAGACATCTCTCCCCAGAGCCAGCTTCCCAGCACCTCTGAGGGCAAGGCTGGCTTCTTGTGGCTTATAAGGACAGAGGGAGTCATACCAAGAGGGGCTATGAAAACACTCCTTTTATTTCTAACTACTTGAATCACCAGCCTTACAAAACACCCCACCTTGCACTGGGTGCAGGAGTCTTCCACTCCTCATGGTTAAAATCCAGGGAAACAAATCAAAAGATTTTCTGTCCTGCAGGAAATGGACTTCCTTTAAACTAGTAAGACAGCTTTTCTATAGGTTTAAAAACTTTGGAAGGGAGACTGTTTTCCCCTCCTTCAGCTTCCTCAGATACTGAATTATAGGAAGTGGCTGGTGACATAGGGCGTGCCTGATAATGGCTCTTTTAAATTCACATTAAAGGCTTAACTGGGACATCCATGCTCCCAGTGAGCATCTGAACCATGCAGATGTGCTGCCTCTCCCTCCCCCCTTTTCCATTCTCTAATTTTGAATATGTATTTGTAGACTCACTTATTTTGGGAGTCGGAGAAACATTATACTCACTTTCCTTTATGGAAACAAGAAAAGACTTACAGTTTCTCCAGTGGAAACTGATGAAACACAAGTGCTCTTGGTCCTGCCAGCAAGAGACTGATGGCTGGAGAGAGAGGTCCTGAAAGATGACTCATTTATGGAGCCTCTCAGGAGGTCATTCTTCGATATTCGTATTAGGAACCTCAAGCAGGGAACAGCGTTGTGGATGGTTTTTCTGAAGGAATATGGGACAAGAAACAAAACAGATGGCACACTGATGAGACGGCTTTGAAAAAATCACACGGTGAAAGTACCATCTCTTTCCATAACCTCAGAACCTCTTCTGTTTTAATTGAGGAGGTCCTAAAGACTACATGGAAAAAGTGTGGTATATCTAGTGGAAACTACTTAATAGGCTGAAAGAAAAATAGCAGGTGCCTTCTGGGCCTCAGGTCAAAACACATACGGAAGAGCTGCATGGATAAGTAACAAGAATTGAAAATATATTAAAGAATATGATTGCTTCTGATTTAATTACAAGGTTAGCCCAGAAAACTTTCCGGTTAGCTGGTATGAAGTTCTTCACTGTGCAAAGGCACAGGACAAGGGAAAAAAACAAAGGGAGAAAGGGGCAGAAGAACCAGATATTGCTATTTATTTTTATCATGGCAGGTCCTATTAGGAATTAACACTCCTTACAAGCACAGGGGAGAAGGATGATCTAGGCCCCAAAGAATTTTAAACCTTCCTTATTCATTAAATAATAATCTCAGTTATGATATTAAAGGTCTATTTCTCCTGACCCCATCCCTGGCCCCATATGGCACAGAAGAGCCCAAGAGCCTCCCCGTGCAATGCCAGCTGGCCTTGCTCCTTGCTGCCACCAAGGACTGTGATGCAGGGTGATGCTAGCCACAGTGCTGGTTTGGTATGACACCTCCTCAGTGCCTCCCAGTCCATTATTTCAGCCCAACAGATGAAGTTAATACTGGCACAAAGCTAAATGAACGAGCCAAGAAGCAAGTCAGCAACAAGGTGTATGGAAAACAACTGATGCACAGGACTTAAGGATCAGTGGAATATGTTTGAATACTGACTTGACACTGAGATGCAAGTCAAGCGGATGTATATTGCAGAATCTTTGCTTCTATAGTTACCGGGTTTGTTGAATAATTAGTATATTTTAAGTCATCATTTCTGTTCTCAGAAAAGATCCTACACATTCAAGTCTCAGGGACCTGATTATGGGGTCACTAGTTCGTCAGTCAAAAACAAACCCACCACCACCACCAAATCCCACAAACCCCAATACTTGCCATCATCATGATTCTCAGTATACCAGACTCTTGTGTGTCCTTACTTATAACTTCAAAGGCAACTGAACTGCAATTCTGTGCCTACAGTGGAGACGAGGACTGAAGAAAGCTTCCTGTCACACCATTGTTCCTGATTCTGCTGAGATGCCTGCCAGCTGCTTGGAGGTGTAGAAGGCTGCCCACATGGTGCTGGATAAAAAAGGGAGCTAGTCTTGTGCAGAAAATAAGAAGTTTTGAGAATCAGCAGGGGTTTGCAGGACATGAGAAAATGCCAAGCCCCAGTAAGCTCATTTTCATATTGAAGACCTCAGGCTGGTGCTGAAAAAGCAGCTGACAGCTTTTATCCCCAGCTGAGAAGCTCAACCACTTCCCTCAGACATAGCTGTAACTTTTGATGTCAGCCACAGCCTACCTAGGGCTGTAAAGTATTCAAGAACTTCAGGTTTGTGTAAAACATACCATCCTGTTTATTAAGAAGGATTTCATGCAGAGACCTCTGCATGCTGAAGGTTCAGGAAATTTATATCTAATGATGAATTTTCAAAGACAATATAAGAACATTATTGATGTCCTGAGGGACCAGAGTTTCAGTTTTACTAATATTTGGGAGGACTGTTGAGGGACATTTTGTGGGCTGGAATGAAATAACAGGTTTTGAAATGTGTTTTAATACTGTATGTGTGAAGTATAAAGTAGGTATAAACTGAGGTGCTTATTTAATGGTATCTTTATAATCCTTTGAAATAAAAGTAAGCAAAACTGAAATACGCAGTAATTTCAAACACATTTTTGATAAAATAATACAAATAAAAAATATTTATGATTATTCAGCTATTTATGATGGAGCACTTTAGAACAAGTAATTTTTGTATAATTGTGTTTCCCTTGGGAGCAAATTGGAAACACAAAGGTGCAGAATTTCCCTGCTTGCTATGAACAAATGACTACAAAACCTAAAACTTCCAAAATCTAAGAAAGTTTCTGCAATGACTAACACAGCCAAGTGACAGTCTCTCTCATAGAGATTGTTTAAGGAGTAAAAACTTTATTCCCACCCAAAACAGCATTTCCTGAATTAAAAATCTGTGCACATTTCCTTACTTATTCATATTTATTATTTCTAGTGGCAGTTATCAGGAAGAGAAGTATTTTTCTTCTTTATCCTGGTGGAGAAGGGGGTTGGCAGGGGTATACAACAATTAACCTCTAGACCAGTTCTTAAAAGCCAAGTGCTAGCACAAAGGTCATTGTTACATTTTCTGTTACACCTTTGTAATTTACTTTTATTTTTCATTGCTTAGGGTAAGGAAACCCCACAAAAAGACTTCTCTGATTTGTTGGGGTGTTAAGATGCAGTGACAGCAATTCTCTGTGCAAAAAAGCCCCTTGCTGTTGTAGCTGTACATTTTTTTGGTTTGGGCCATATCTGAATTCTTTAGGTCCTGATTTCTAGATGCCCCCTTCTAGAAAGATCTGGAAAATAACATAGATTTAATTTGTTTCGGTAGTACCAATGCAAAATGGTAATTCATCCCCTGCACGAACCCTTAAGTCTTGGGCCTGGACAGGCCCATTTATCCATCATTAAATAAATTACTTTCAACTCATAACATGAATTATTAGAAAATTTGGAAAACACCCAAAAACACTGATCTCTACATACATATTCATTATTTACTGTTCAAGCAAAATTGGTCCTGCCAACATATTGTCACCAGCTCAGTTTCTGGTGTACTGTAGCTGCTTTTTCAGTTTTAAAACTGCATGTTTAATTGATCACAAGGGACCCAACAATACTGCTTTTCCTGACTGGAATACTCTCAGGTCTATGAAAAGCCTTCACAAGAACTCAGTAAACACTTCTCTTGTTGATATGTTTAGAAATACAAATTAGGAAGCAGGGAAAAAGTAAAACAAAACACTTTTTAAGAGTGTCTGAAATCTTGTGGACTCCAGCCTTTTTCAGCTTTACTTGGAAAAGCCAATGCTGGTGGTAGGAAAAAGACTAATTGAAGCAGTTTGCTCTATGGTATCTGCTTTGAAAACACTCACTTGACCTTGCAGAAATAATATAAGGAATCACTCAACATAATAGCTTTGGATCAGGAAAAATAATACCAGGTTCAAAATGGGTCAGCCAGCAATGCAAAACTTCTCATCAACTTCTGCAAGCCATAAGAGACTCGTCCTTCTCCTGTTCTAAATTAAAATTCCCTGGATCCTTCAGAAACTAAGATAAGCTCAGGCTCTTGGAGGATGTAAAATGATGTTAGTTACGATAACAGGCATTTTCAAGCATTATATATGTTTTCATTATTTCTGGGTGTATTTCCACCAGCTTTCTGAGAACCTTTAACTGTTCTTACAACCTCACTGTCATTTATCAGACATTCAAAACAATAAACTCAGTTTCCAGCTCCCAAATCCTAGTTCTCAGGCTATATAACTCAGCAGCTTTTCCACTTCCTGGGGGAAACAAGCCTCATACCGACGACTAACCCTGCCATCTAGTGGCATTCGTACATTTGTCACATTTACCACGGTGGCATAGCCATATTTCATCCATACTCAATGTAGCATCCTTTTGTGGAAGATACGCTTTGAAAGACTTGCAGAAAAATCTAGAGATATACTGAATAGCAGTTCATTATTATATAAAAAGCAAGATGCTTGTATAGTATGTTTCACTGTGTACACGTTATGTACAGCTCTGGAAGGTCCAAGCTCTGAGCTATATATGTGAGGTATAGCTTCTTTGGAGTGCACTGTTGTGGGTTGCGAAGGTGGGAAAGAAAAAACCATTTAGCAGCCCACCTAATGCTGGAGATAGGGCTGAGAACACAATGGAGTCATCTCTCTTTCTTTACACTAACCAAACAAACAAAACCCTCAGAAACAACCCTCTAAAACCCCCAAATTTCACCAGATTTTTGGAAACCAAGTGTTTTAGAAGTTTTAATAGAAGTGACTCACTTTGCCAGGACCTGAACATTTTTCTCAGCTGAAGCTGGCAGGACATGTCTAAATAAAACATTGACTACAAAAAAGAAGTTTTAGCTTGCATAGTGTCTGGGAAGTGCAAGGTAAGTTTGTCCTTGTTTGAAATCATTCAGAAGAACACCACACCAGATTATTCCCTTGCAAAAATACTTTGTTAAGTCCTTTGTAACCCCTCCTAGGACCACATGACTGAGAACATAATCATTTTAGATGTGTCCATGCTCTGCATGCCTGCAGGTCCTAACTTGCACAAAGAGCAGGTGACCTTTCTGAAATGCAAGGCGGCTCTTTCTCATGCTTTCCTCAAATGTCAGGGAAGGCTGATGTGGTCTCTGGAGACCAATTGGGATGCTCTAGAGGAGTTATTAAAGGAGATTATAATAGACCTTCTTCTGCAAAGGGAAAGGTTTCTGATTCTTTAGAGAAGCTTCTGTTATGGTATATTAAATTATCATTCTATTCACCTATTTCTGTAGATTTCCCATCAGAGAGACAGTATGGAAATCTTTTTACAATGCATCATTACCTTTCTAATCATCTACTCTGTGGGAACAAGTTATCTTCATACTCTGTTCCTTATGTTGCTGCAGTCAGAAAGGGCCTGGATAAAAATGCAGAATTCATAGCTTTCAGCTCAGAAACTCATTCACTGGCTGTCAGTGGCTTGAGAAGGAACTAAAAAGGCAAGAAAAGTTGGCTACCCATGCAGCTTATTGAGACTGAATAGTGCTTGAGTATTTGTTAGTGAAACTGTGCTGGGTTGGCAGTGTTCTGTTTTAAAATACACAGTAATTGATATCTGTAATAATAAGTAGAATTATACTATAATTTGTTTATGTAGGCATAAGGTCAGAAATATTTTATGCCTGCAAAATCCATTCAGGCGTTTCCGAGAAGTGATCAACATTTTGCCCATTGAACCCCTTTAGTGTAGTGCAGAACTTCTTTTTTAAGTCAAAGCTAATTTTTGAAAAAGCCAAGAATTGAGATTCTTTTCCCTGAACCAACTAAATTAAACAAATATGAAACCAGCCTTCAGAAAATGCTTCTTTCCACAGAGTATTTCAGAAATGTTTGCTTTGTTTTTCAAAGGCAAATACTTGACCAAAGTTAGCAAGCCTGATAATGAAAAGGCAGTATTTTCAGTATATTTGGAAAACTTGCTCATTTGCATGGAGCTCTACCTCGATTACCAGCTTCCTACAGCTCTCAACTTTGCACAGAACTGCTATGAAAATGCTGTTTGCTTCTTACAGAGCTTCTCCCAAAGACCAACAACTTATTCACATTTGTACTGAAGCTGTTGTAAAGAGAACAACTGAAGTGCTTCAGAAAACCAAACCTTGAACATATACATATACAGTTGCTTAAATTGGTGATGACAGGATTTTGAACCCTGCTGGTTGGGACCTATTATCTGGAGAAACCTTTTGCGGCTGTCCTTGATATGGCAAAAGATGTCCCTGAGTATCAACTCCTTCTTATGTCAGTCACAGTGTTGTGCAGCCCCACAGGACAAAGCAGGGTTGTGAGGGGGAAGAAAGGTGAAGACAGGGACTGCTCTCCCCTGTTGGCCACCTCCGAGGCCACATCTGGAGCTCCATATGCTGTGCAGCTTGCCCTGTACCAGATGGATGCAGTGAAGGCTCTAATTATCTGGATCCCATCATGGGGTGATCAGGGCAGGAGCACACACTGCATGGGATAAGGGTGCAGGAACGAGTGTAGTTCATTTATTGTAAAAACCACAACTGTATGTACAGTTACAGACATAATTATATGTTTACTGTACCTGTATCTTGGGTGAATTATTGCATATATGATGGGGTTGTAGATTGCAGAAGCTTTGGCAATAACTGCTGGCACAGATTTGGAATACGGTGTTAGGGTGTTGGCTCGACTAAAACAAAGCAAAAACATTACACACAGCTATACCATGGGTTGATACCAAATTATTAAAACATATTTATTACTCTTTTTGATGATTTTTGTGCTGTGTACTAAATGTTAATTCATTCACACGCATTCCTTGCTCAGAAGAAAGACTTGCGTTTGACAGCACATACTATGATTTCATTTATCTGGGGAAAATGGAATATTTGCAAATAATTAGTTATCTATTTGAGGGTAACCAGGAACATGTAGAATCACCTTCCCTGTTTCTACACCAGAGGGGAAAAAAAAAAAAGTAAAATAAAAAAAAAAAGAAACAACAACGCCCTAAATCAAGCCTACTGTGGCCATCCGGGAAAAGTGAATGGCAATAAAAAAAGGAAACAAGATCAAACCTAAAAATCTTTCAGCAATAACATCTGTGCTGCACAGCAAAGGTTGTCAATGATTTAGTTGCAAACACTGCAGAAGGAAGAGAGAACTAGAAATGATTTGAAACCAGTATTTTCTTCTTAACCCACAGCCAATCATGTCTGACCAGTGTCATCACTGGATAATTACAACTAATACAGAATCACAAAATAGTCTGGGTTAGAAGGGACCTTTAAAGATCATCCAGTTCCAACCTCTGCCATGGGCAGGGACATCTTTCACTAGACAAGGTTGCTCCAAGCCCTGTCCAATCTGACCTTGAAATCAAGAATGTGCACTGGCAAGAAAACATGTCCCTTTAGAGCAGAGAGCAGCAAGCAGCTGGAGGAAGATGGGAGCTCAGGGGTGAATATGAGGGAATATAACTTATCTTCTGACCTTTGTCAGAGCCAGCAGTGTATGGAGGAAGCTTCTTGAGAGAACAGGTATTAGAAGAGATAAGTCCTCCAAGTCATACAAAGAAAGTATCTTGGGGGAGAGGAAACAACGTATGCCAAAATGCAGATAGAAAGTCATAATAGTTTTAAAATACAAAGAAAAATAATCCCTTTTCTATCTTTATCGACAAGAATATAGTGAAGAATGCAATATCACCTGTAATATAATAACTATTTAAAAGCCTTTCAAAGGGAGATCTGCTTCTTGTGGGTACAGTAATAATCATATTCATGTTTCAGCATAACCCATGCATCTTTGGATGTTTCCACTTACCCTGCCCAGGCAATCAAGGTGACACAAGCATATGGAGACCAGGACAAGACAAACACAATGATGACCACAAAAGCAATTTTTGCCAGTTTCCATTCATTCTTCATGGATTGAGAGAGGTAGGATTTCCTGCTGCAGGACCCTAGCTTTTGAACATCTCTGTGAGGGAAAAAGAATACAAACACATCAGCAGGAGAGTAAAAAAGTGAGGTGCAACATCTCTAATATGTTCTCAGCAATATGCAAAGTGAAGCAGATTTCATCTTTCCCTCCTCTACCTCTTCTTTTGTCCTCTGATATTTAAAAACTCTGGTAGTTCATGTAGTGAAATGGTCCCAGGCATTTTGTCTGATCTTTGTTTGTGTGTGGAACTGTGGAATTGTGCCAGAAGAACCCCTGGGACTACAGCACAGAACTGCCGTGTCCTTATCCTATCACAAGGAGGGTTTCAGTTTGGGAGGGTAAAGAAATTGGCACCCCTTTCCCTTCATTGCTCTCAATGGAGCAAGCAAAGGCACAGCTGGATGCAAAAATCAAATCTTATGGCTTTTGCTTTTCAAAGGAGTAACAGCTTGCAGAAATTCAGCTCGTGAAGTAATATGTGCTGGAACAGCCTGACTAATCTGAGGAACCTGGCCCCAAACGCTTACAGAGACATTCCCTGCAGATTCATTCACTGAAGAAGAATATTTTCAGAGCAGAGTACAATAGGTTGTCCTAATGTTTTTGCTAAAAAAAGGCCCAATCAAATTATCTTCTCATATCTGACGAACACCCTCCCAATTTATTAGAAAGATTGTTTCATATGGTTTAGCATAGAAATAACAATTTTTATATATCAGTGTTTTTAAATGAAGATATATGTCAGGGATTATTAGCCAGCAGGGTAACAAACTGTTTCCTGGTGCACTATGAACATACTCATAAAGTGAGTGTACTGTATTAGTGAGCAAAAGGCACAGAAAAATCCTGTGGCCATTGGTGCTTCATGAGTGTACAAGACACCATTGTTTTTAAGATTCATTCTTAAAAGCCAAGACTAAGGACAAAATATAAAGTTCAGTAAGAAGTTCAATTTAGGCATATAGCTAAACATGTTTGTTTAAATGGAATTTAGCCTTGTGAAGCCAAACAACTTCAGTAAGTGCCTAGGCACAGAGGAAAGCCATCAGTGCTGGTGACACTGAAAGCAGTGGGAAGGATTCACAATCCCATCCGGTATTGGATCAGACTAGAGATAAGTCATGTGCTTATTACAAGGGAAATAACTAACCAAAATGAAGCTATTTTACAGATCTAAAACTGATGATTTTTTTTTTATTTCAAATCTAGACCAAGAATCTGGGAAAGAAAAAATGAAGTGTACTGGCAAGCACAGCCAGATATTGTGTGTACAGTTGTAATGCTTGAGTGAATCACAAGGTTTTCTGGGATGCCTGCCTTAAATAAAACTGACAAAAAGTATGAGGAAATGTTATGTTTACAAGGCAGCTCAAAGGCAGATGATGCCCCCATTGCTACATGCTGAAAACTGTGCTGGAATGCACAAGGACCATGTTCCTTGTATCGCAAATCTGAGATACAAATAATCCAAACTATCAAAATATCTGATGTATTATTAACTACTGCACATTGTGATAAGATTAGAAACACCAGAGACTTCTTCCCCTATGCCAAAATACACACACTCATTCCAGCTTTTACACTGAGGAAAATATTTGTCTAGTCACAGTTGTTAATGATCTGCCACTTAATTTCCAGTTTCATTTAGGATTAATTTTTGATTCAGATTTTTCTGCAGCTGAAGAAATCGAGAAAGTGTTCTAATACAAGAAAAGGGAAATTTAGTTATTTCAGCTACATTGCTTACCTGCCAGTACGTCTTATGGCCAGGAACATAGATAAATAACAATGGAATATTATTATCAGGGGAATAAAAAACACGCAGCAACATAAAATCATGGTGTAACTTCGGTTTGCAGGGGAGTAGGTTACATAGTCCCATGTACAGGATATCATCAACCCCTCAGGCACATAGGAACCTATGAAATACATGGAATACATTATTCACACATACACCCAAAGCTTGCGCAGTTGCTGATCCAACAACTGAGCGCTTAAAATAAACCCTCTACTATATACATAGTCTGCAAGAGCTGGGTTGGCCATATTATACGTGTGATCTCAGAATGTGAGTGCATGTGTGGAGAGGAGCTCCTGACTGCCAGACTCTCATATACACCTAATACTCCATCTGCAGTTTGTTCTGCTTGAATACAACCTGGTGTAAGGGGTGGAGGCTATCTGCTCTGCAACATATACAAATATTTGGTATGACAACAAACCATGAGGCAGTGGCTAGGCATCCTCCCAAGAATTTATTAAAGATCTCATTTGTACCCCAAGCAAGGCTAAAAGAGGCCACACAGGGAATACTAGAAGAGAGAGAGAGCAGACAACATACTCCACCCGAGGAGCGGAGCCACACTCCATGCCAGTGAGTACAGCCACACAACAGCGATGATCTGCATGGTGCGTTTCTTTGAGCTCCACTGTATGGATTGCAGGGGCTTAGTGATCACAAGGTAGCGGTCAACAGAAATAGCTAATAAAGTCATCATTGAAGTTATTCCGAAGAGTGCCCCACAGAAAGCGTACAAGTCACAGCCTGAAGCAGAAAACAGCAATGTCAGTGATTTTCTTAAAACAGATTCATGTTTTCTCTCAGAGTCTGACATGAAAAACCTCCCAAGTTTTTTCCTGGCTCAGTACTTCTCTCCCATTAGTAGGATTTTCTTAGTCTCACAATTTCATGGTTATTAAAAGCTCTTTAGAAAACCCACAAATACTAATAAAATACAAATATATGTATTTAACAAGTCTTACTCTCCCCTGTGGGCTGCAACTGGGAATCTTTTGTTAATGGAAAACTGCCTCAAATAAAATCCAATCTAATTAAAGTTACATTTTCCTGGATTATTGCCCAGTATATTGATCTTACCAGGCTGCAGCAGACATCTGTCTGCTAATGACAGATGAGTGTTTAAAACAATGGTTTTGGTTTATATGGCTTAAAAATGTAGAAGTGGTTTAAATTTGATGGTTAAAAGACCAGCTGGAGCACTTATGAAAAAACTGTCAGTTTTTAAATGAAGCAGGGTTTTTTCTCCTTTTTTTTGCATTCACGCGTTGCACTAGCAGATGAGATATTGTAGAGTTAGACTGCCCCTAATTTGATTCAGAAGCCTGTGTCAAATTATCATTCATTTTTTGAGACCTTGTGTCAACCCATGTGGATATAGACAACAGCCCACTGGTAATAGGAGGCAGTCAAAACACTAGATTCAACCTTAAAGCAGACTTCTTCTAAAGTTTTTATAAATAACCTGCAATAAAGGACCGAATGCCACTCAACCCAAATCAATTGCTTCACTTTGTGGCAGCATGATTTTACAGTGATCTTATCTAAGGGCACGAACAGAACTAAAAACATCCTCAAATTGCAGAAGAGTCCCTTCTGCGCCACTAAATAATACATGGTCTGGGCTTGCTCCACCAATACACGACCACTATTTGGTGCAAATTTTCACCCAATGATGTGATCAGCAGCACTAAGCAGAGCATTGAGCCTTCTGAAGAACTTGCTATACTCACATTTCAACTATAATTTGAGCATGCATGCATCACTTTTGGTTTTTTACAGTTGGAAAGAAAGGAGCTTAAATTTGCAGAGTCCTCAACTGACTCTTGTTAGTTAATTCTCTTAATTAAATGTGAGATTCCTAGAAGCATGCTAGTGGATATCAGCATATATTTCTAAATAAAAATAACTCCCTCTTAAACTAATACAGCAAAAAATAATTACAACTTAATAAAACTTTTCTACCCATCTACAGTCATTGCATTTGCCCATACGAGCTAAAGGGTAAGAAGATTACATGTTGATCTTGATTCCTTTCTTTCCAAAATAAGTAAGAGCAAAGAATGACATATATAATGCAAAACATGTGCTATCATGCTGACTGATGTCACTCGAGAGCCTTGTGCTACTGTCTCCACAGCACAAGCCAAGGTTGTTACGGCTAAATTAGGCTGCAGGCAGTATAGAGCTGGTGAGAAACAAATTAATGTTGAAAAGTACCTATATCTCCAAGTATCCACTCTCTATGCAAGCTGTTGACAAAGCACATGGGTGCCTGAGAAGCTGACATCAGGAAGTCACTCACAGCCAAATTCATTATAAAGTAGTTTTGGGGTGTCCTCAGCTTCTTGTTGCTTAAAAACATGAGAAATAACATGATTTTAAATAGACAAAGTGAACAGTTAACTTTATAACTTGGCTTACTAGCATGAACAAATACTATCCAGCGGTTACTTACAGTCAGCCAATTGTTAATCGTCAAGCAATTACTGCAGCCACAGATGTAGTTATTTCAAAATGACAACTGACAAAAGCAGGTGGGATAAAATAGGTTGTTTCTACTTGAAAATGAGGAGAATTCTAGCTATCTTGAAAAATATGAATTTGTTCAGGACAAGAGCACTTCCCTATAAGTGCAGTAATACTGCAAGTGTCTGGCACTACACAAGACCAGGATCTGAAGCAGTTACAGAGCCAAAGAACCTCCTTTAGGTGAATTTTTAAAAGCTGCTGACCTCAGGAATCACCACATTACCACTGATTAAATGACCCTTTGCAAGGTGATACGACACAAGCAAAGCATGCACAGAGATTTGAAATAAATACTTCCCATATACATCTTTTAAGAACAAAAGCTCTCAGCTGCAGATCGCAGGCAGCATTGAATTCCAGAACAAAGAGTGTGAAAGCAGCAGACAGTCTGCAAGCAAAATTTATCCAAAGAAAACAAACATCACTTCCAGTTTTTTTTCCCCACATCTCACCACTTCATGTAGTCTCACTTGATAGAGATATCTGGAGTCACAACCACCTTGGAAACTTTCTGCTGGTATTCAAGGTTACCCTTGGCTCTGGCCAAGAGGAATACAGATACTGGTAGCATAATAAAGAACCTCTCACTTTTACTTAGGGTTATTTGGTTGAATATGCCCTTGTTGCTCTGATTGAACATTATGTCCCACTAGGAAAGTTAAGTTAATCTGTGAGTTCATGTCACCCAAATCTACTTAAGACTGTCACTTTTGAAGGATATACTGAGAAGGCGTAACAGTGAACTAGTAGTCCTTCAATGACAACCTCTGTATTAGTTGCATGGTGAGGTAAAGTGCTCTGATATCTAGCCTATGAATTCAGGGCTTTTCACAGAGTTAGGTACATATAATGCAAAAAGAGGCAACTTGGCATACTCTTTGAGATATAGGGAAGAAGCAGGATTTATAAATAATTCTATTCTTACAAACTGCATGCAGTAATCTTAAAGACTTGTTTCTTCTCCCTCAAACACCTCCTTTAGTGTAGAAAGTTGAACAACTGAGGCCTTTCTGATGTGCTTTAAAATACCACTATTTGCAGATAACATTAATTTCTTTCCTCATGCAGATAAAGTAATACTGAAAAAGAAATTGAAAAAGCCATCTCAGTGCTGCTGCAATTCTAACAAAACCTGGGGTCTACTGCATCAACTAGGTGAGAGAGTTCACACCTTTGCCTATGGAGATTTTCCTCCTTTGACAATTTAATGCTTTTATTGCAGCAGCTAAACAAAGAAATTTCAAGAAAAGCAGAGCTTGCACTGCATTTCAAAAATCATGACATTATCTACAGTTGCAGGGGATCCCATTTCTTCTCTACCTCATATTAAAAGCCAGTTATTCAAAATAACTAAACTATTTGTCATAAACATTTAAGAATAAAAAAAAACAATGCTTGGTTCATAACACCACCAGTGTTTCTAGCACTGTGAGCCCCCTCTGCATAAAACATGTATAATGACAGTAAGCAGTGAGCGAGGAGGATTTTGAAAGCCAGCATCACAGTGTAAGACAGAAGGTGCCTATTTCTTTTTCATTAGATTTTTGCATACTCCAGCTGCAGTAGCTTTGGCTGTCTATTACACTGGCACAAGCCAAGTGAGCAAACAAACTGACAGAAATCCTATGATCAGCCTGAAGCAGGAAATACACTGATGGCATGAGTTCATCTCATGTAGCACACTGTTTTCTTGGTCCTTCCAGGACATCTGGTCCTTCCAGGAGTATCAGTTTTTGTCAAGTACTTCCACACATTCTAAAGGGTGAGTGAGGAAGCCTGTAACTAAGAAACTGTGGTTTCTATCATTAAAAGTATTAAACTCTTCTTGCAAGATGTGAACCTTAAAACCAGTCATATGAACTGTAAAAGGAATTTTTGTACCTGTAAAACGCATAGAGAACTAGAAGGTTTCCAATGATGCCAATGGAGCCAATAATGAGCACGCATGTTCCTACAGTGTAAAGAACATAGTCAGGGATCTCTGCCTTGGTCACAGTGTGTGGCTGGGTGCCCATGTTGAAACCCTGAGTGGAAAACAGAGGAAAAGGAAAGCTTAGCCCATTCAGGACACTTATTCCAGGAGACATGTTCTCAGCCTGTTGAAGCAAGGCAGAGCATTCACTTCCCCAGTTCATGCAAATCAAATATACACCTCTGAGTTCTTTTTACAGCCCTTATCATCAAGTTTCCTCGAATAACTTTCATTACTTTAACAGTACATATATTAAAAAGCACAACAGGGAAAACAGACTGGGGAAGAATACTAAGGAAGTTACAATGATGATGTGGACAGGACACAGATGTACTAGCATAAAACTCACTCATGGTAACTGCTGCACTTTGAGGGCTCAGAGCTACCTGACAACACAAACTTCAGTTCAAAAAGGAATTGCCCGTCAGAGTTTGGTATTATTAGGAGCAGTAATACCAAATCCCACTCTTAACAAACACTAAGTCCTCTGGGTCTCCCCAAACTCCCTATCCACTAATTTACAGTGCTGCAAAACCTGGGAATTCCCCATGGGAAAGGTAGGAGACCAGAGGTCAAACAGCAGTGTAGCATTGCCTGTGTAAGCACAAATATATTAAATAGTCTTAACACCTCTTTCACTGCCCTTTATCTCCAGCACATGAATAAATCCCCACTAACTCTCTACTTTTCTTTTTAAACAAATTCAGATTTATCACTGGCTAAACTCAGCAGAAGGGCAGCCTACAGCTAATCCACACAGCTCTCATTAGCATTATCAACAAGAAGAGTTTGAATTGCCTGATGGAGATGCTTATTGATCAAGTCAAAAGCAGCTAAGCCATGCAGAGTGCTCACACAGGCAACTTGTCACAGCTAAGACCTGCTTCTCGTTACTGCATTTTTCTGGTGCATGGCTCAGTAATGTTCCAAGTGTCAGACAAAGCTGATTTTGGTCTGTGAGAGAGGAGCTGGGTGACAGAACAGGTTCAAGAAAATAATTATCACCCCATTGGTAGAATTCAAGCAGTCATTTGAAAATGGTGAGAATAGCCTTTCTTTTTCCCTGCTGCTAGCTCCTTACCTCCCATACTACTGCTTCTCCTTTCTGCCTTTTATTATTCCTCACTCATTTATGAAGTGCATACACTACAGCTCCCTCCTTGTACAACAGTTCTGTCTTTGGACATTATCCCCTCAGCTGTACAATCCCGCTGGGGGTGCTCCCCAGGGTGGGTTGTGTTCAGAGATGGGGAGCACTGGGTGAGATGCATAACACAGCCCGAGCATCCACAGAACAGTGGGTCTGGAGCAGAAACACTGACAGAAAAGCTCCTGGGGCTGAAAAGACGTAGGAAATGGTACAAAAGCTATGTCTTCAAAGCAGAAAGCTGCCTTCAAGCCTTCTCATCAGTCTAACGGGCTCTACCCATCATAGGATGGCTACCACCAACATGACACCTCAGCAAAGTTAACATCACTTTAGAAGTAGAAAGAAAGAAAGGGGAGCATCTGCTGATGCTGGCTGCACCAGGAGGCTGCCACTGCTGTTCCCAGCAATTAGGCAGCAAGAAAAAATATCACCCTGTGTAGCATTTACCCTTGAAGAAGGTGCAAGAGGTAGTGTCAGAGCAGGCAGTGCACAGGGAGGTCCTGCAAGGAAATGCAGCTGTGGCCATTCAGTGGCACCAAGCACAGGCTGCACCATGCTTTCAGAGCAGGACTGCCTGGGCACAGAAATTAACAACATTAAACTCCTTTCCTTTTCCCTCAAACGTAATCTTAGCAGTGTGCGTGCACTGAATCAGAACCCTGCCTCATTTCTGGCAATGCATACCAAGGTGCCTAAACTGGGGAGAAATGGAAAGGATCCTTTTTCTTTTCTTCCTTTCCAGCTTATCTGTTAGGTATGCTCAGGATTTACATCTAAATACCTCTATATTCTTCTGTATAGAGGGTTATTATATAGGAATATTACACAGATCTAATTCAGGGCAAGTAGGACTTCCCTGTTTTATGTATCATGGTTTACTTCACCATATGGGTACTCACTGTTGCAGAAACTCATTTCAGAAATGCACTATGAATTTCACACCCAAAGGTGTCTCGCCTTATCTCTCTGCTGAAGAGATGCTGACTTGGATGTTTTGGCTTTGTTAATTCAGTTAAGGGTGATGAACTATGTCAAAAGCTGAAAATGCCTCATGTGACACATTTGTAAACTTAGATTACAGTTTGCTGGTGATATTGGATGAAATATAAACTACTAATGCTTACAGAGTGGAATTTGGAAGGCGGTAAGTACTCGGTGCTACACAGAGCCTGCAATCTCAGTGAGAAGCTAAAGTGAGGAATGCTTGGATTACAGAGGCTTTGAAGAAGGAATCTTGCCTTCAGAAGAGTCCATAAAATACTATTCCCTTTTGCGGCAATATTAATAGTAGTAAGAACAACTTTAAGATCCGAATGAAAAGACAGCTCCTTATTCACTCTGTTGGTGTTACCCTGAGACAGTAGGATGTGGCAAGCACCCAGCTACATGAAATGTGGCAATCTGATAAAGACAGAAAACCATTTATAACACTATTATGGATCTAAGATGATAAATGCGCACACCTATGCACGTGCATATATATATTCCAACAGAAAACCTCAACTTTGATTAGTTTGAAGCTATTTGTACCTGTTTAGCCTGTTTTATTTAGAAAATTTCCACTAGTTTAATCAAATTATTTCTTTTATCAAAGAGAATTTATACTGTTTCACTCAAAAAACACAAATGTAAACAAGCAGCCCATGAAGATGCCAGTAATTGCAGCAGGGCCAGCTTCTGGCATCCTTGCCTATTCTGTACTCACTTTGTTTGGCTCCTTTTAAATTAATGCTACAGTCACTTGAGTTTTGGCTCTATAAGATGTTGGACTTGACAACTCTCATAAATCATGATGTGGCTTTACCCTTATATGTGATGTGACTACAACATCAAAATGCTGTCACCTACATGGCAGCTTGGAGGGCTTTCCTATCAGGGAAACCAAGAGATCTGCAGGCAAATAGAGAATAAACAATTAACAGCTGTCCCTCAACTAGCTGGCAACAGATGCAGGCACCAGATATAAAAATAAACTTGGTCTATTTCTCCCAAAATAAAGACGGAAAACTTAACAGATGAGGAAAGTTACTCTGTGAAAGCTTTTGTAATTTGATTTTTAGTGACAAAATGATGTCCAAGTAATTAGAGCCATCTGTTTCTGTTTTCCAGCTAGTAAGCTTAATAAAGATTGCAATGCAGAAGACAAAAAAAAAGTGGTTAAAAAAGGAGGGCAAGTGCAGGCTCCCTTCAGCGTTCAGGGGTAGAAAATACTGGATCAAATTCAGAAAGGGTTGTATGACTGGTATTAGGTGGATATAAGAGTATCTAAAGCTTTACTTACACTCTGATTTTGGTCATGGATGCAAGCTCATCTTATGGAAATGACACTGAAATGAGCTTAAGTAAGGGCTTGCTTACATGCGGGATTAATGCACACTAACAAGGGAGTGAATTAACAGCATAGCAGCCCCCCTTGGGCTGACCTGCTACATTCATTTACAACGTATAAGTTTGATTTTACTGTATAAAACATTTAAGTCTGAGATTTCCAAGTGTAACTGTATAAAGAATAATACTAAATAATACTTAGGTATGATGAGATAGGAACAACCCGCATGTGCCAGATAGTTGGTAGTACTTGCCAAGTTCCTTATAATTTCTGTGATGGTCAGTGTAAGAGGTAATTCAGTATGAAGCACCATCTGGTTTGAAATGACATTATTTGGGGCTTAGTGATTATATTGTACATAGGAACTCTTGAATCAGCAAATAGAAGACTATTGCTATGTGGTGACTACTGATGGTCAGACTTTTTTAAAACATGATATATTTAAAATGAAAATTTGTGGAAAATATCAGTATCTTTGGGTATTAAAATAAACAAACAAACCCCAGCTAAAAACAAACCAACATCTGTGCTTGTTCTGGTTAAAAGTGCTGCATTACAACATGGCACTGTAAGTACATATGAATTTGGTCCTCAGAAAGTCAAGTCAAAATGGTGATCATCCACATGTGGAAAAGCCACTTTTCTTACCAGTCTCTGGATGACACTCTTCTTTCACAGCTCATTCCAATCAGTTCACATGCCAAAACCAGGGGCACTCAAACACATATGCATTTAATTAAGAAAACAGTTGGTTAAGCAAATGGAACTGTAAATTTGATGGGGTTTATCCAAAAGTGACAAACAAGTACAAGAACTGCCAGTGCTGTGTACAACAGGACAAACAGCAAAGGCAGCCGGGTACCAAAGTCAGGCGTCTGCTCCAGATTTAGACGGGTGTTTATCCAGTCAGAGGTCATAAGTTTGTGGAAAAAAGAATATTTTTCTATAATAAGGTATGTATCTAGTTAATTCCATTCCAGCAAGTGCTTCTGGACTGTTACTGAAATGAACAGCCAGTTGAAAAAAGCTTTCAATACTTGACTTCAAGACTCACTTGGGGTATGTATGCTTCACTTCACATGTTTAGCACAGCCCCTGCTTTGTTGACAGGATGCTTTCTTTCAGGTCCTCAGTATCTCTGCTTAAACTTCTCATAGTTGCAAGCAATCTAATGGTACATAGCTAATTGGTAGAAAAATCTCTTAAAAAATCCAAAAGAAAACCAGCAAAACCTGATAAAGTTTTCAATATCAGGAGAATATTCATATATATGAACTCATTATATTGGTTACTCAACAAGATGTCTGCATATCCAGCCTTATAAGTCAATGAAAGTAAGGGTTATCAATCACTAATATGTTTTATGATTAATAAGACATTAAAATAAAAATTATTCACATGAGAATAATACAATAAAAAGTAAACAATAAACATGAAAATAAGCGCAGCTGTAAAACAATCTGGCTTGTGTTCCACCTCAAGCACTAGTTACACCACTTGGGCAGGAATTAATAAATGCGAGGGTTTACTACAAGTTTTTCAAGTTACTCTAGTGACTGTGTCTGCACAACCC